TGTTGCACTTCTCACCTTATATGACTTAATTTCTCGTTGGGTACCTGTCATTGGCAAAAGATCGGAATCTTCTCTCATAAAGCCCTTAACCTCCAGAGGAACTGTGCCGAGAGTGAGTCATAAGCAATGTAAACAAAAAGATTAAAGACATATTAAAAAAAAAAAACATCTCAAAGAAGTATTGACATAGAATGAAGCTTTGATTACAGACTACTGAAAGCACACAACTAACCAGCACGACTGAATTTATCTTGGCTGTTTTCAAAGGCCCGACAGCGTATCTACAGTAACACTTACTCTTAGAGCCGTTTCGAAAATGAAAGCCCTCGCTGCATCAAGCTGCACTCTCCAGGCCCGAGCAGATGAATCCAAGCCCTGCACGCTTTGTTGTAGTATTGCTTCAGTAGCATCTCGATTTAATGGTGAATGAAAGAGAGAGAGAGAAAAGATGGATGGAAAGACAGAGATGTTGATACGACACAGCTGGGACCTGCACTCAATTTCACGACACCAGAAATATTATGATGCGTGTCCGAGCCGGCAGAGCACACCAGTGAGCCCCAGGCCTCCCGTTATATTGAAGGGTAAGACACATCGCTTGCTTGTCAATAAAGACGATGGCCGCTTGGAGACTGGACATGAGAATAGCTTAATAAAAATACACTTCAAATAAAGTTTACAGCCTGATAATAAATCACAATAACTCCTGGCAAAACACTATATGATAAATGCCAATCTTTGCAAGCTTTATTATTATTTGTTATTCTGAAAGACTGCCTTGGGAATTTTGATGCATTATTCACAGAAAAGTATCCGACTATGCTATTTTTGATGTAGTTTTTCTCTTTACTCAAGTAGATAACTTGAACTGTTCCTATAATTTAGAATTTTAAAGTCCATTAAGCCAATTAACTATGAATAATGTGCTTATACTTTAATGCAAAAACAAACCAAATTCAAAGTATCTTTTTACTCTGGATTTTAGTTTTTAACAAACCTGCTAAAAAATCTTGCTAAAAATTGTACATGTTTTCAGATATCCTTGAATCCATCACCAAGGAGAATTTTGATCTCTGTCCTTGCCCACAGCTGCAGGTCCGGAAAATGGTAACACAATTTGGCTAAAGTATAAAGACAGAAAATGTTGTTTTATAGAATTTATGGAAATAAAATAAAACCATTAGCTTCCTGGAAGCTAGGAAAATCAATCTAAAAACTTCAGCGTTGGAAAATTGTTAACAACAATGTAATGTATACTCAATTTGCAGTTAATGGTCTACAACATTCGTCTAGTTTCCTTCAAAGGATAGATTGATGAACTCTCTTCCTCATTGTATATTTTAGAAGAGTGATTTTAACATGCTGTATTATCATAGTCCATATTGTTGGTTAAATAATATGTGGTATAATTGCAGTCTCCACACGACTTCCCTCCATTACGTCTGCATAAAACATAGGACAATCTTTTAAAAGTTGAATATTCTGAGCTGGTCTGAACAAGGACCCGTTCTTCACTTGCAGCATAGTTAACGATCTTTCACGGTTTCGATATATTGTTTGAATTATTCCCTAAGGCTGGTTTGGATTCTGGACAGTGTTCCTGCTGAGGTGCTATTCTTTTCTTTTGCTGCATTATTACTTTTTTTAACTGATTGTGCTGAGAGGTGGTGCAGAATTTGATCCAAACCCTTGATATGCTGCTCCTATAATCTGCTTGTCCAAGACCTTTTCCCTGTAACCTTGACATTTCCTGACTTATTAAGTGGTGCTGCATGATCAGAGGCTTTGCATGAGAGCTGTAGTAAGCAGATATGACTAAATATTTATGAAGACAAAGCTTCGAAGTGGTTGAAGTAAGATGCAAAAACTGCCTTTTAAAATCAACGTCTTAACATTAAGATGAGAATAAGTGTAACATTGCAATTTTAATGTTGTTTCAGACTCGTCATGTATTGAGTTCACGAACACACAGTATATAGAGTGTGAAAAAATAGTTTAAATTCAACAGAAGTCTCATTTTTGCATTGATAAAAATTTGAAATGGCTAGTTTTTTTGTTTGTGCGCATTTGTGTGCTTTGCACATTGACTTTTTAAAACTACTTTATGCACCTCCTACGGAGAAAGTGAAATCAATTGCCCTTCTGCTCTTGAGACCGTCCACTTGAGGCTGGTAGGTCAGGATGTTCACAGTGAGCTAGATAAATCGGGCAGCAGCCCCCCGATCGATTATGATCTGGACTGCCAGAGGAAGCCAAAGAAGTTCAGAGATATAAGCATGGGCCGAAGGCAGAATGCAAACATCTGTGTTCGTTCAAACCAATTAATTGCGAGGGTTTGTAATGGCGCCGATCGGTGAACATTCCCACCCTCCACTCCTCCTTCATTAATGCTGCTTGCCATATCCTCATCTTCATCTTTGCCAGTCTTTTAGCTCTTATATCTGCCATCTGTCTCTTTCCTCCCCTCCATGCATGCCATTTTCCTCTGCATATTTCTATTTTCATCTCCTCTCTTCCAGCTTCCTCCACTTTTCCATACCCTCCTCACCTCTTTGTCTCTCTCATTGTCCCTCCTTCAATGCACACTGAACAGAAAAGATTGTCTACTTATGTCCTCCCTTTTTCCCTTGCTTCCCTCCCCACACACCTCTCCTCCTTTTGTTTCTTCTTGGCTTGTTATCTACATCACCTTCCACCGCACTCACACTCACACACGCACACACACACACACAAGATGTTGAATTAATTCCTTCAACGTTCCTGCTCACCGTCAGTGGTCCTTTATCTCTGGGGTTGTGGAAAGGTGACTGGTTGGCTCCCCATCATTAAAACCTCATCATCTAAGATGACACTGTCTACCGTTATTGACTTTCACTTTTTTTTTTCCCCCCACAAAGGATGTGTTCATAAAATCCAATTGGCAGATGACTATTCAACCGCAGTTTCATTAAAGGTGAATTTAACACTTTTATAGACATTGTGAATACAGAATAATACGGACAGACTGCTGTAATATGGACAGAATGATATTAATTATTGCACAGAATGTCAGGACTCTTTCAATTCTCTGCATATTCTTTTAAAATACAAAAAACAACCAGAGTGCCCAAAAAAGTCCGGGTTTTCTGAACTGCTTTCAAGACAGAGAGAGAGAGCGAGAGAGAGAAAGGGGGGTGGGGCAAAAGAGAAAAAGATGGAAATGTCAAAGTAGATCATTTCAGTGGAAGACATGTCGGTACGTTAGCTCCTGAACGGAGGCATCCCTAAAGGTCACGTCAATAATTCTCCTGTTTCTCCAGCTGGCCATTAATCATTTGGTCGTACGTCTGTCATCATGGGGGGCTAATGAGATCTACATAGATCATTTCTTCCTCTGGCTGGAGGACAACCCTGCTGTTTAAAAAAAAAAAAGAAGCACTCTCATTGATCTTTTGTTGCTCTCAGAGGATCCACGTGTGGCCAGAATCCGTGTTGCCCCGCAGTGTTTCCTCTTGTGTTTTTAGTGGGAGGTCTGAGCCAGATACATGTGGGTGATTTGATGGGGCTTTTGAAAATAATGTTGTGTAAGTCGTGTGATATGCATGGTAGTCATAATGGATGAATCGGGTACAATTTTGTGACCGGAATGTCCTTGCACCCAAAAATCAGCTAGACATTATGAAACTATTAAAGACAAGAAGCTGCTGTTTGACAGTGAATTTAAGACAAACTGCATTTTGTTTATACTCTGAATATTTGCCTAGTTTGGCCATAAAACTGACCTGCTGTTGGCGCATCAACAGAGCTGGCCCCTTAATCACCTTTAATGAAACAGCTTCAGGTTTGGTCATCTCATTTTTTGGCCGTTGGAGGGTACAGGATATGAAGGGTATGGTTACAAATGAAATATCTAGCCTTTGATTAAAGTGGCATCTTGTCAAAGTGATTGATTGCACAAACGTAGAACAAGTAACACTACCTTTCAAGTTCTGTTTTCAATAATTCAGGGGTTGTTTAGACTAGTTGTGATATTATGAGCAAATTTCTGCTCATAAATGACTGAAAATGTTTCAGGATATGGGCAACGTGTCATATAACTCTGTCACAATTTAAACCTGTATGCTCATTAATCATCCCGTCAATCAAAAAATCAGCATTTCCGATCAATGAAACTCTAGTTTAACAATGTCAAAAAAGCCATTAATCAAGCTCTTGTAAATTTAAAGCAGATGTACATCTGGGACCACTTTTTAAACAGCTGACTGGATGACAGATTGCTGGTCAGTGATGACTCGACCTTTATAGAAGGGAACACCAAAAGCTCAATACATATGCCCGACAAACTGATGACAAATTGCCTGCCTGTCAGTGAACATATGTAACCCAATCAAAAGAATTACTCACTGTCACTGTCACTTTGATTTTAGACAAAATTACGTAAAAACGTATTATTGTGCGATACAGGGATTCAAAGTGTGCATCCGTTTGTGTTTTTCTGGTGTTTGTGGTTGAAATTCTTAATTCTAAATGGATTAATGAACATTTTCATTCATTACTGTTTTGGCTAGGCATTTTACGATACCAGAAATTTAGTAGTCGATACCAATGTTGATGCCAAGGTGAAAAAAACTAAACAATAAATCCTGTGTACTTTTTTACATTTTAATGAACAAAAAATAACAACAGTGGCTCTGTT